CAATCTAGAGAAGCCATTTTTAATAGTGTAATCCAACCCTAGGAAGTCCTCGTGTTGCACCCCTTTTAAAAAACAATAGCGTAATCCAATTCACCCTTCAAATACGTTGGTATCAAGGTAAAAATTATAATCTTCGCCAAATTTTCCAATGGGATTGCTTCAGTTGGAGAACCTGAGACAAATAAAGGTAGGTGCATTAGTAGGATACTAATTGGGAAGGATAACTAAATCAAGTTATTGAAATATACCTGAGACAGATGAAAATATAGACACTAGTCTTGGGGATCGCAATTCACTAGATGGATAAGAAGCAAGAGGGATGTTCATAATAAGAAGTATTAGTACCTCATGAGGATTGGTATTTTCTTTGCCAACCAAAGATAGAATCCCAACATCAATATGACTATGACAACCACCAGAAAAGTATGGATATGGTGTAATCATTGTTAGTAAATAAAGCTCCAGTAATGTCATTGTCATGATTTTGGTCGCTGCAAACACCAGAGATGGAATTTAATGTTACAAGATATAGAAGTTGACGAAAATATTAAGGAAAAAAGCGAGAATAGTAAGAGATTTTGCAAATATATATAGAGAGGGGGAGAGAGAGAGAGAAAGAGAAGGAAAAAATTGCAAGTACCTTCATTATGGATTCTAGGGGATAATTCCAGGCAATTTAAATTCAATGAGTTTCCAGAGCATCACAAGATGGGTCAACCTTACTTGTTGGCGTCTACGTCGTGGCATGATTTTCATTGTCTTTTGACTAAACACTTGCCAAATGATGCTCAACTTTTGTAGCTCTTGCTTTGCACGTCTCATGGATTACTTGAAGCTCAATAGAACCATGTTTATTGAACGACACAATTGTGCTTGAAATCCTTGCACTATTTGAGCCCATATCCTATTTCTTGAAAGTACCCCTAGACATGCGTGTGACATGAAATGAGTACTTGATCAGATTCATCTGATGAACTCAATTTCGCGGACCCCTAGTTCTTTAAAGGATGTGTAAACCAAACACAAACTGACAGTGAGACGGGTCCTGTGAACTTCAACATCTTTGGAGCTAGCTATTCTTAAGTATTCCAAGTATTGAATTGTCTTATTTTTCAAGGACATAGAGGCATTTTAGACTCTCTAGCAGGGCTTTGCCTTTTTTAAGCCAGTATCATAGGCTTTGAGTTTGACATCCCAGACTAACTAGCTAATAAGGTTTTACAATCAATGCCATCTAAGTAGAGGAGCACATCATCTTTCCGCCAATTGTTGTAACTGTTGTCACATTGATTTTCAATTCGAGCATAGGTATTAAGGACATGGAATTATGCTCCACCGTTTATCTTGATTAAAGTTAGCCATGCTCGATATAAAAAGTGGCATCAAATGAAATTATTAATGGGTGTACAGGAGTCCCCAGGAGCCTTTGATGAAATCTATGTTGCCTTGCAAAGTGATGTGGATTATATATCTCACGAATGCACACTGGCCCACAATGATGCATGCCATATCCAACTCTCATACTCGTCGTTCATTCAAAGGTCTCATTTGATATTTGTCCGTCATCACGATGAGGGCCTCATTTGCAAGAATACGAACTGATTGCCTACAAAATCTCTAGAACTCATACTTCTGCGCAAAAAGATCTCGAAATCGTTTTGCTTCTTCCTCATTAAAAAGATAAGCATTCAATGTACCTCTAAATCATAAAAATGAAGGACGGTTAAGGTCCTTATCAACCTCAACATAAGCTCAAGAAAATGCAATGCTACCCAAGCATAAAAGAAATGGCCTACAAAAGAAAAAGAATTCATCCCAAGATTCTTTTAATCATAGTGGGTGTTGCATGTCTCGGATAGACCTCTATAAATGATTTGCAAAGATAGAGGAACCAAGTTGTATGTGACTTCAACATCCATTCAGGAGGCATTCTTGAAAATTGTTGAATGAATAACATCATCTAACAAAGGAAACACAAAGCAACATAACTATAAAGCCAAATAAGCTGCAATCTCCAAGTCTTTACATGTTGAGACATCAAGGTCAAGATCTAGAAAAATAAAAGGATCATCACCTAATTTTTTTTATTCGTAATCCGCATCTCTACCTGAAAAGGTCTCACCAATCTTCGATTTGTAAATAATTCTCCATCCTGTGAGAACAATTTGGCATGGTTGTTTTATATGCTTTGTTCTTGCGAGAATTAGAGCACATACATTATCTGGGAACCAAAAATCATGTCAATCTGAATGTCGGAGGTGGCTATCTTGCTTCTTTATAGAAAATAAAGCAAAAGCCTTAAACAAATGTAGACAAGTCATTGGTTAGTGTGGTGAAGCGATAGCGCAAAGGCTGGCTAGGGTGGGTGATGGTGGTGTTCCGTTACACAGAGAGAATGAGGAGAGTGGGTAGTGTGAGTAGACTCAAGGGGGTAAGGTATTTTAATACGTATATGATCATTACACAAATTATATTAAATCCTTAAAGAGATTCATGTCACACCACTTAGTAGTTTTCTTTTATTTTTTTAACGATATTTAGTGCCAAGGACCACATTAACTTAATTTTTGAACGTTGGGTACAAAATTGATGAAATTAAAATTTTAAAGATTAAAGTGCAATAAGTGATAAAACCTTAAAATAATTTTTTGGATAAAAAACACGGACACCCCTTGAGTTTTGACAATATTACATGGATACCTCTTGACATTTTACAAATAATACAAAGATCTCCTGAGATTTAAAACTCATTGCACGGAGACCCCCTTTATCTTCCTTCCGTTAATGTTTGCTAACGAAAAGTGATGATTTCATCCCATTTTTTTTGTTATTTCCACAATTGCCCCTTCTCCAAATTTAGTACAAAAAATTAAAATTAAATTAAAAATATAATAAAATCAAACAAATTTTGATTTAGTACCTAAAAAAATTGATATGCTTTAGCAGCCCAAAAATTGATTAAATGAAATTCAATATTAATTTGATAGCAATGAAATTAATTCAACAAATATGAATATTAATTTGATAAAATGAAATGTCAATTTGATAAAATTAAATATTATTTTATAATCTAAAGTTTATTTTGTGTTGAATATTATTTATTATTGTTCAAATCAACACGAAATTAACCTTATATTATTATCAATTTTTTTGGTATTAAATTTTTAAATTTTTTTTGAGGTATTAACTTTTTAATTTTTTTTGTCAACTTTTTAATTTACTTTCATATATTTTTATGTGAACCAGAGATTTTTGAGTTTACTAAGTGGAGGTGAGTGATTCTCTTAAAAAAAGTGATGGTGAACGATTGGTTTGATTTAAGTTTGCGTGATTGAATCTTAACCAATAAATAATATTCAATACGAAATAAACCTTAGATTGTAAATTAATATATAATTTTATCAAATTGACATTTACTTTTATCAAATTTATATTCAACTTTGTCGAATTAATATCAAATTGATTTTTGCTGTTATCAAATTAATATTAAAATTAATTTAAACAATTTTTGGGGGTACTAAATTATATTAATTTTTTGGGTACTAAAGCAAAATTTGTTTGAATTTATTAAATTTTTAATCTTTTTGGGTATTAAATTTGAAAAAGGGCAATTGTGAAAATAATAAAAATTTTAGGATGAAATCATCACTTTCCTTTAACAACATTGATGGGAGGGAGACATATGTGGTGTCTGTCCAATGAATTTCAAAACTCAAGGAGTCTTTATGTTATTTGTAAAAATTAAGGATATCCATATATTATGACCAACACTGAAGATGTGTCCATGTTCTTTGTCCTACCCTTTTTTGTTGTATGTTGTCAAGTAAAACTTCAATGTCACGTTTGTTTTGAGGATTGCTATGCCTGGAATTGAGAATTGTGTTTATTACATTTCTAATACCCATAAAAATTAGTTTTGGTAATAGAAAGGATTTCAATCTCCTTCCATATTTGTTAGTTCAATAGACACTATGGTGAATTCCACAAATAACTATCTATTTTATTACATCTTTTATAATAAATATATAATTTTACCATTAACATCATTCATTATATTACTCCATTTTTGTAAAAGAATTTTTTTTTAAAAAATCGATGACATCGTAAGCTTAAATATAATACAAGAAAAAAATTTAAAATAATTTAATAAAAAAATCAGTGACACCGTACGCTTAAACATATTATAAGAAAAAAAATTCAAAATTAATTTTTTTTAAAAAAATTAATAAAATTAAAAAACAAAAATCCTTTGGTGGCCAAATCTCATAAGGGTAATTCAATTATTAATTTCTTTAATACCGTTGATGGCCAAAATTCAAAAAATAATAACACCTCCTAGGTGAGATGATATACTTGACAAAAAGCTGATTGTTGTGTAATATCTAAAGGACAGCTCTATAGCACTCCACGTGCTCTTAAAGCTTATGGCGACCCAAAAAATAGTGTTACCCGAAAAAAGGAAAATAAATAAGGTACTATTGGCCCATGTACTATTTTCTCTGATTCCTCCGTTTTACTTTCATTATTTAAAAAAAAAAATTTACATAATCCAAATGAAACTCAAAAATTAAACAATAATACTATATTAACCATATTTTGGGACCAAATTTAGAACCTAAAAGACATGACAGTTGACTTGGCTTCTTTGATTTGTGTGATGTCATTTAAATCCCAATAAAAATTTCAAATAATCAACTGTCATATTATTTGTGTTTTAAGTTTAGTCCAAAAATTTGATCAGTGTAGTATTACTCAAAATTAAAATCCAAATACGTATTATCTTTTGTATGAGTATAAGATGAGTGAACTCTCTTAAAAAATTGATAGAATCCACTCATCCAAAAATTAATATACATTTGAATTACAATTTTGTGAATTTTATTCGACTTTTATAATATTACTCATCTTTAAAACAAACATGTCCCAAGCACCATTAGTACAATTTATCCAATTTTTAAACTATCCAATATATATCTGTCGAAGATATTTTCTCAGCCTATAAATACCAAAGCCGTAGTAGTGCCCTAAAGTGGTGTACTCGCATTCTTTGGCAGTTCCCCGATTCCCCTCTTGAAAGCAACTAGGGCTTTGGCTTCGCCTATTGCGTTTCAGGTTCATCTCTCTCTCTCTCTAGTGGGTTGTATATGTTTATTGTAAATTCTTAATTTTTTTTTCAGTTTTTCCGTAATTTTGTAGAATATACAAGAAATTTATCATGTGTTATATGCTATTAATTTTTCATAAATTAGAAAAAGATATTGCTTTCTGTTTCCTGGAAGTCAAATGAAGTTTGGGAAATTCCCATGTACCATTTCTGTGGGCTTGAACTATTCGTTTACTTACAGCTTTTTTCTTACATGATTTGTCTTTTATTTCTTATTTTGATATTTTAAAACAATTTTCATGGTTATTATGTTGTCCCACCCCTCCCTGGGATAACATTCGATTGTTCAAATACATGATATACTAAAATCTAATTTCTCGGGAATAAATTTGACGATGATGAAATCTGATGTATTGATCATTTTGGTACCCTGTTTTACCTTCACAAATGTGCTTGAATATATGAATTGCTTGACTTATATAGTGAAATATGATAGGCATTCATTTCTGAAGATGTCTCGTGTGTATGTGGGGAATTTGGATCCTCGAGTCAGTGAGCGAGAACTTGAAGATGAATTTCGTGTGTTTGGAGTTATCCGCAGGTAAAGCAAGGTTGAGTTTGAAGTAAGCATTTGTAAATAACATATTTTCTTCATTATTTATTTGTATTGTGGCCCATTTTTGTGAGTTTGTTATGTGTAGTGTTTGGGTTGCAAGAAGGCCCCCGGGTTATGCCTTTGTTGATTTTGATGACAAAAGGGATGCGCAAGATGCAATTCGTGAACTAGATGGTATATTTATAGAGATTTGATTTCTCCGATGTGATTATTGTTCATTATGAACTGTTACTAGTGGATAGATGTCAACATATTAATAGTGAAATAACTATAATAAGTTAAGGGTGGGATTCGGAACCGTGCAAATATCGTAGTATTAACCGAAATGTAGACCGACATTTTTTATATCATGCTTAAAATGCATGACTAAATTATACATCATTTTTTTCTGTTATACTAGTAGGACCATGTTGTCTTGTTCGTTCCTTTTATAGTCTTTTAACCCTTGTGGCCTTGTTATTATCTATATTTTATTGATATAATTCTTTTATCGTTTAGTTTTTGGGAAGGTGTGCTAAGTCATTGGAAATGATAATTGGTAAATGTAAAGGAGTTTTAGAACTTCATAACATCTTAGTTGCGGGGAGAAGAGTTTTAGGGTGAGCATGAGCTCTCACCTAGTAAAGCAACACATTGTCACCAAGTTGCCATGTCGCATTGAACCCTAATGTATAATGTTGCCTATTCTATCAGCAGTCAACAATATATCCCTGATCTTGTTCTGTCGCTTTCAGACATATTTCAAATTTATAAGTCAATAAATCATTTTGTTAGCTTTTATAATTTTTATTTACCCTCGATTCACACATCATATACATTTTTATGTAAATTTGTTGCATTTACTATTTTTTGCACCTTTAGGCTTGTGTGTTCAACTGTTCAAGAAGCTTGGCTTTTGTTCTGTTGTATAAGTTAAGGAGTGATGGGAGCACTCAAGTGTAAAGGATATTTTGGACATTGTTGATGCATGTTTGCATTCATTGGAATCATTGCGCATGTAAGTTATGGTTTGGCTGTTATTGGAATGTTGGAAAATTAATGGGATGCACAATTTGAGAATCATTAAGTTATTTAGATGTTGGATGTGGGTTAAGATTTTGTAGGTGACTCGTTTGTCTTAGTTGGAGCATTTTGTTGGAGCAATATAAGAAACATTGGAGGGTGTTGAGATTGTTGGTGTTAGAGGTGGGAAGTAGAGTTCAATGAATCAGGCAAGTCTGGTACAACACGGTTCAGCTCTTTTTGCTGAGATAGTGTTCCATATTCAATATAAAACACGCCTCACTTGACTCGTGGTTCACTCACAAAGCTCTTGGCATGGTCATCTGATTCATGGTACTTTTGACTCTTTACCTATTGCTCTTCGGAAAGGTACTTGATTGTGTTTTACTAAGCATCCCATTGCTAATTCTATTTCTTATGATGCCCTGTCTCCTTTCTTCTCTTGTTTTACCTCTCAACTATTTATTATCTCTATTCCTAAGAATTGAAGGGTGTGTTGTCTGATCCGGGTTAGAGGAAAGTTGTGGAAGTGGATATGGATGCCTTACATCATAATGGAACTTGAAATCTTGTTCTTTTATCGTCTGGTAAACGAATTGTTTGTTGTCAATGGGTGTATATAGTTAAATTTAATCTGGATGTTTATGTTGAGCGCCTTTAAGCCCGTCTTGTTGCTAAGGGTTTTATCAAACCTATGGTGTTGATTATGAAGAGATTTTTTCTCCTGTTATCATAATTTTCTCTATTTGTGTATTGATTTCTTTGGCTGTTAATCTTGATTGACCCTTGTTTAAATTAGATGTTGGGAAGTCTACATAGAGCAATCATCTGAGTTTACTGCTCAAGGAGAGTATTGTAAGAATGTGTTGGTTAAAGAAATCTTTGTTAAGTTTGAAGTATGGTTTTATAATTTTTCATTTGCATTTTTAGAGTTTGGTCTCCTTCGATGTCAAACAAACCACTCTGTCTATCACAGATAGATTGATGCAAGATGTATTCTATTGGTTGTTTAGGTGGATGATATTGTCATTATTGTTAATGATTCCGAAGGTATTGTCAAGTTAAAAATCTTCTTGTAGGATCAATTTCACACTAAGAATCTAGGAAAACTCAGGTACTTCTTGGGTATTAAGGTTGTTAGATTAAGTAGGGTATTTGTTTATTTCAGAGGAAATATGTACTTGACATATTAGAAGAAGTAAGTTTGTTGGGTGGTAGACCAATTAATGTTCCTATGGATTTGTATTAGAAGTCGTTGATGGATGATAGTGCATTGTTTGAGAATCCTGGCTGGTACCACTGGTTGGTTAGGAAGTTCAATTATCTCACTATTTACTGACTAGATATTGCCTATGTAATTGGTGTGGTTAAGTCAGTTTTTGGGATGCTTTAGAGTCCCACATTGGGAGGCAATTACTCACATTCTTTGATACCTCAAACATGCACTTGGTCTTGGGTTGTTGTATCAAAGATTTTTTTAGATTTTGGTTGGGTTGATTTTCCCTTAGATCAAAGATTAACCACTGATTTTTGTACCTTCTTGGGAGGTAATATTGTCACATAGAATGGTAAGATACAAATAGTGGTAACAAGATCTAGTGCTGAGGGTGAGTATACAATAATTGAATATATAACTAGTGAGTTGACATGACTATTACACTTTCTTTGAAAAATTGGCTCTCCATTTAGTCTCCTTTACAATTGTTCTGTGATAATTAGACAATTATTCATATTGCTTTTAATTTAGTATTTCATGAGAGTACCATGTCGAAGTTGATTGTCACTTTGTTGGAAATAAGACAATAGCTGGAGATATTAACACTTCATTTTGTGAGATATGAGGATCAACTTGCAGACATGTATACCAAAGTTTTGGGTCGTACTCGTCTTACAACCATCTGTTATAAGTTTGGATTTGGATTATATGATATATATAATCCAGTTTGAGGGGGAGTATTGAGAGTATTATTATTATGTAATTACCTCTCCAGGCTATATTTGCCCTTTGTATATTTACGAGATGACTATAAATATAAGTTGTTAATGAGAGGTAGGTTAACTTTTGACTAATATTTGTTTCTCTAATATTGTGTTAACTCTCTAAACATAACACCTACCAATCACAAATCCATCAATTACCCCTTCTCCAAACCCTTTTGCCTCCAAAACGAAATCAAGAAAATTCTAATCCATGTGCTCATAGGCTTTCTCAAAATCAATTTTTATCACAATACCATCCTCACCCTTCATTTTGTAATCATATACGACAAGAACCACATTCAAAATATGTCTTTCTCTTACAAAGGCCCCCTTGAGAAATAAAAAGTCTCACTTAAGCACTTCCTAAGCCTCAGTGAAAGAACCTTGGCAATAATCTTGTACAAGCTAGTGACGAGACTAATGGGTCTAAAATTATTCCACTTCAATGAATTAATTTTTTTTTGTAATAAGACAATTGTATGTGGCATTTGTAATTGCATTCATCACACCCCTTATGAAAGAATTCCCTAAACACCCTCATCAAATTATCCTTTACCTCTTCTTAGCATATATGAAAAATCGCCATAGTAAAGCCATCAGGACTAGGAACTTCATCTTTACTACATTCAAAAATAGCTCTCTTAACTTCCTTAATCTCAAAACGCTTTTCCAACCATGAAGCGTTATCCCCACCAATGGGACACCATTGTTAACCCATCAAAGTAGGTGTAGGACGTCCGTGGGCTAAAACAAGATTAGGAAGGAATGCAACATTTCCCCCTCAATAAATGTCCCATCCTCCACAATCAAGCTCCAACTTGCCAGTGATTTTCTTCACGCTATTCCCATTAGCCACCCTATGAAAGAACTTTGAGTTATTATCATCATTTTTCACCTATTTCACTCTAGACTTTTGTCTCCCGCCGACTTCTTCTTGATGCACCACATATTCACTGTGTTCGAGAGTTAAAAGGATCATTGAAAATATGATTGGAGAAATTGATAGGTTAGAAGGCGAAGGGGAAATGAATGATTCTAAGAATGGAAATGAAGGGTCTCAAGTTTCTTCATGAACTTGAAACCCCCCCCCCCCTCCCCTATTGTGAATCTCCATTTCGGACCACCATTCCCTAACCGTTCTTTTAAAATTAACATGCTCCACCCACATATTTTCAAACCTAAAATTAACATGCTCTAGACATTTATTCCCCCTTATTGAAAGATCAAAGTCAGAGGATGGAAAACTCCCCCGGGGGGGCAAATGAGCCAATCCCAGAAATGAAAATAAAAGGGAAACACTATGTGCCTTTAAAGAGCAAAGAAGTGCATGGGATTCTTGTTCACATGCCTGCCCATCCTTATGATATACTTTTAAGTGATTCCCAAAGCTGTCCTCATTGTTGAAAAGCCTCGTAGCATCACCTAATATCTCATCGATGTTCTTTTCATTTTGCAACCCAAATTACATTGGAAAAAGTGAATCTTTGGAGCTACATATCCCATCTTCAATTTCTTATACCTCTATATCCACCTCTATGAAATCACAAATATGATTATGTGCCTCGATCTCTATGGCAATTCACCTTCGCCATTTCATTGTTTGTCCCAGTTATTGGGTCATCTCTCATGTTTCCACCTTCAACAGTCAATCACTCACATCTAAATTCCAATTTCTTTCAATAGCTCCCTTCTTTCCTCTTTTAGCGTTTGAAATTGAAGTTTTGGGTTATCTCTCATGTTTCCACCTTCTACAGTCCGATCAATCACATCTAAATTCCAATTTCTTTCAATAGCCCCCTTCTTTCCTTTTTTAGCGGTCGAAATTGAAGTTGGACCCTCGTTGGAAAGTCCTTGGTTATCATTAACGTCATCATCACAATCACAGGGCCCTTGCGAAGAATAGTCGTCAGAACCCTCGCAAAGAATATTACACGTAGACTTGAAAGAAAAGGAACTTAGCCCGATGGGTCCATCATAGCTTAGGAAGCACGGATGCAAGATACGATATGGATATGGCAAAATCCCAAAAAATAAGATACGGGTATGGTCGAGATACGTTTATAAATATATATTTTATATTTTTACTATTACGTAATAACTTGATATTTATAATTGTTGGTGATTCTTTAACAATAATAAATAACATTATAATTTTTTATTTTCAAAAAGTTATTTATCGTCTTACTATGGTACATTTACAAAGTGAACGTGGTTAATTAAAGGAATAAAAATCAGTAATTAACTATATTGTTTGCTTAGAAGTATTTGTTGATAAGATTATATAATAATCGACTCATTTAAACTCTTTGGACATGTGACAATGGATAATACTTGAAAAAGTCTCACGTGTCTTCCAAGTCATGAATTTTTGTTAATATATTGTATTGTATATGAAATCAAAAGGAATGGGTAAAGATGTGCCACGTATACATCCAACCTTTCTCTTGTTATCTTCTTCTACCAAGTGGAGTAGGTTTAAGTTGTGTTAGGTCATTTTGGTGACTACATTCCTTGGATTTTAGCAGTGAAGTGAAATTTGAGTACTTGTGTGAGACACCAGTTTAGCTTTGGCTTATATTTGTCTAGAAGCCAATACCTGGCCATGGATTTTTGGGAATTTTGGAACTTGATAGGATTGTTTTGATTTTAGCTTGTCTAAGAAGCCTTTTTTTGAGAGCAAATAGGTAATATACCTTCTTTGACATTCTTCCCAATTCCAAGTTGTCAGTTTGGCATGGTTTGGTTAAACTTCTGATTCATATTTCCAGAAGTTTCTGATACTAGTAGTTTCCTTACTATTCTTGTAACAGGAAAGAATGGGTGGCGAGTAGAACTTTCTCACAACTCTAGAGGTGGAGGTGGAGGTGGCGGTGTCAGTGGTGGTCGTGGAGGTGGTCGCGGTCGCTCTGCTGGTTCTGATTTGAAGTGTTATGAGTGTGGGGAGGCTGGGCATTTTGCCCGCGAGTGCCGATCGGGTGTTGGATCTGGAAGGCGTCGTAGTCGCAGCCCTCCTCCTAGGTATCGAAGGAGCCCAAGTTATGGTCGAAGGTGAGATCATTGCAACTTGTTCTTGTACAATATTTACGAGTTAAATGCTTCCCTGTTTTTCTAATTACTGGTTGGTTGTACATTTTGATTCTCCTTACAACCTTAAGACTCAAAGTTTCTGGGTCCTTTTCTACCTGCCATTAGGAGATATATGTTTCTGATATCAATTCAGAGAAGAAAAAGAAACAGAGTGATCTAAATTTGGCAGGCTTATATGGATCCAATCTTGATGGGGATATAACTTGCACTTTTGATCTTATAATGCTTTGATACATGTCCATGAATTGAAGTAGGAGCTACAGTCCTCGTGGCAGATCCCCCAGGCGTCACAGTTTGTCACCCCGTGGTCGTGGTCGTAGCTATAGCAGGTCACCACCTTATCGTGGACGTGAGAAGTTGCCACTTGATAATGGGTGAGGTTCCTTGCACTTCAGTTTTCTCATTTAACTGTAGCACATGCTCTCTGTTTGATTGGATTTGGGTCACAAATGCACAATTGGTAGTGCTCATAACAAGTTGCGCTCAATCTTTTCTCTCAACTTCTGCGTTTTACTGAATTTTATGCAGAAATGGGCTTAAGGAAAGACACAGAAGCAGAAGCTGAGTATTTCAATTCGGCAACTTGACTTTGTCAAAAGGGTTTTTGGCTGTGTTTACTATTGCTTGGACTTCATTACAACTGTTTAAGAAGGGCGTTGCCCTTGCCTTCGAGTTGTGGATTTGGTTAAGTTTCTATCTTACTTCGGTATTCAGTATGTTAATTTTCCTTTTTCTTTCATCTATGCATTATGTTTTATTTCTTTATAGGCAAGTGGGTTTTGAGGTAACTAGTATAATTTATTTATAAGAACAAAAGTTGAAAGAGCAACTGCTAAAGATTTGTGCTTTTTTTTTTTTTTTTTGTGTCGAGGTTTTTCCTCCCTGGTCTGCTTCATTGCTTTTGTGCTTCTACACTACCCCGTGGTGTGCTTCTTCGCTGTCCTGCTCTGGGATCTTCAATTTGAATGGTTGTAGGTCCCAGATGGCTTCCTCACTAGATGCTTCTGTAGGAATCTGCAGCTGTGATGCACCTTCCCGAGTTATAGTGCTATTTCTTTTAGATAGTTATAAGGATTGAGGAGCTGCTTCAAACACTTTTGGCAGGTACTTAATCTGTTCTACAGAAGTTGGAGATTTGATGTTCATATTAAACTAATATTGAGTTTATTATAAATTTAATTTTAAGGGAAGGATGTTTAATACCAATGAAATGGAGTGCCAATGGGTTGAATGGAAAATGGCATTATCTTTAAATGACCCCTCCCCCCCCCCCCCCCCCCCAAAAAAAAAAAAAAAAAAAAACAACACCCCTCATTTGCAGGATGAAGAAAGTGTTTCTTTTGCTTTATTCTTATGCTCTTGCTTGCCTAGGCAGTTGGGAAAGGAAAAATAGATTTGATGTCCTCGACTCTACTTGACTGGAATGGCTACCATAAGATTCTAAGTATATTTATTTTTTCCCGTCTCTAGGCAATGTTTTTGGGGAAAAAAACATAATGAATGATTTATTTTTGTATTTACCTGCTAAACATCAGTTGGAAATATGCCTGAATCTGAATATTTGAAACAATCATTCTCACCTTTTTCTGCTCCGTGTATTGATTTTTCTATCTGAACTTTGCATTATTTGGGGGTTCAATATTTCTTGTTGCATAGTAACAATTATTTAAAAGCTGTTTCTTCAACGTGGAGAAGGCTATCTAATTTCAGAGCTTCCAGATTTCTGCCAGTTGACTATTTAGCCAATGGGCTTCCTTGAATGCTTGCGACCAAGATCTTAACAAGCTGATTGAGATTCTCACATTAGATGAGACCTTATGGCATCTCTTTCACCGGCTTTTTATTCGTCGATGATATCTTTTTTTGGTTTGGAAAATGTGCTGCAAAACCACTTGCTGTGGCGGCATCCAGATTTTGATTTGGCTTACTAAGGTTGGGGCTACCAACAGTTAAAAACACCATTTTTTATTTTCTTTTATTTGGTTGCTGCATTATTTTCTAACTTGCGGTATGAGTCTGCATTTGTTCCCTTAGGTAAGTTGAGGTGTGATATAAGTATGTTGTCCGTAAATGTTGACCATTCTTTTGGCAAGATTTTTTTACGTAAACCACTTCCACCATTTGGAAACAAAATACTGGGAGATTTTGGTTTTATATTTGGCCACATTGTTTTGATGTGTCCAAAACATTGCTTTTTGTAACAACTCATTTAACACACATCATGCATGTGAGACCCAAAAAGAATGCGGGTTTATCATAAATGTGAGTTGATATGGTATATGGGCATACATTGACTTGAAATGTGACTGTCTCATTATGATTCCCTCTTATTTTGGAGTAGATCAAGATAATGAGGAAAATCAAAACCAATGGCCGGCAGTTTGTCATAAGTTTTTTCTGGCATACTCATGATGCTTGGATAGAGGTGTATCAATGGTCGTCAATCTACATTGTCGCGGTAAATTACTGCCAGTTTTTTCTATGTATGGCCTTTTTTTGTGGCTTTTGGTCTATGAAGCACGGACACGGACACGTAGATACCTAATTTTTCAAAAAAATAGGACATGGACACGTTGAATAAATATGTTCAAAAATATATTTTATAAGCCAATATAATCCAAATCCGACATTTTTTATCAAATTAGATATTAAAATAACCAAATCACCACATTATCACTAAATAACAAAGTCATTAAATAATAGTGAGCATAACAAAAAGTTTTTTTGTTCCATTTAATCATCATCCAAAATTCACATTTCAACTTTTTTACATCAAAATAGTTAGTATCTAACATTAGAAACCTTTACAAATATACCAAAAATAAAAACATTGTTCATCCTATTCAAACAAAAGGTTCCATCTCGATCAAGATCATTAAACTTTAATTGCCCCACCACCACTAGGTCCACTACAACTACCACTACCACCACCACCACCACCCCAAACCACGGGCACCACTATCTCCTCTATTACCATTTTCACTAAACACGATGGCCTCCAACTCCGGTTCATCAAGTGAAAGTTGTGTAATCTCAAGCTCTCCTACATATTGAAATGAATCAAAAGCATCTCCGGCAATATCCCAAATCTTAGTTTCTCCTTGCATATATTGTGGAGTTGTTCTTGAAAGAAGATGAAGATTGCCATGAATGAAGGCCAAGTCTTCGGCACGCTTTGGTGTCATCTTATTCCTTCGAACGGAGTGCACAAAAGAATAAGTACTCCAATTTCTCTCACAACATGATGAAGAAGAAGGTTGCAAAAGTAGTTTCAAAGCTAAACTTTGAAGCAAAGGTGCACTTGCCCCATAGGTAACCCACCAATTTTTAGGGTCCATTCCATAGCGATCATGGATTGAGTCAATATCCCAAAACTCTCCGGACTTCGTTGAGAAATTGTCAAATTCCTCATGTACCTTTGCACGATCCTCTGGATTAGAAATTTTTTTTTTATGCATTTCACTCTTTCTAGAGAAACCTCCATATCTTTGTGTGGGGGAACTCGAGTAGGATCCTCATGAAGTCATTGATCACTATAGTAACTTAAATAAGAGAAAAGAAGAAAGAAGTAAAAAGTAGTGCTTGATTAAGAGGGGGGAAAAGTTTAAGAATTAGAAATCTCCTTGGATTCAATGAATGGACAAGGCAATGGAGGGGAGTGTTATTTTTATTCCAACGATCAACAAGGATTTTGTGCACCACATCATAAAATGTGTACAACTCCTCCGCCCGCTTTCCTTCATGCCTATATATTGCAATCCTCACTATTTCTATCTTTGTATCCCACATGTCATATACCAAGTGAAGACAAGGCTTGTTGGTATCACAAGCCCTAAGCATATCATATATAGGAGTTGTAAATGCAAGTATGTAATCAATAGAGTCCCACCAAATGTCATCCAACACCTTCTATTTCACAAAACTTAGCTTTCCCCACATCATCTTCTCTATAGTTACTCCACCTCTCACTAATAACCATGGCTTGAAGAGAACCTTTTATGAGCTTAAATCTTTTAAGCATTACAAGCACCGAGGAAAAACGTGTACTTGCAATAGAAAGCAATTTCAAATGGACAAATTCATTGAACATTGTCAATCTCATAGAGTGATTCATGATGAAAGTCTTAATAAACACAATATCATCCGCAATATCGTAATCCAAGAACACTCATCAAAGGTTACTTGATTATTTTCAACATTCTTTGCCGCACAAATATTTTGCAAAGCAAGGTTAAGTGTGTGAACCACACATGGTGTCCAAACAATATTAGGATATATCCCTTCAATGAAATGGCCCACCCCCGAACAATTCTTAGCATTATCGGTAATCACTTGAAACACATTATCAGGCCCCACATCATGAATTACTTCTTTCATCAAATTGAAAATAAAGAACTTTTCTTTAGTTTCACTAGAACAATCCACAGATTTAAGGAACATAGGCCCACCTTCCGTCATGCCCATAAAATTAAATAAAGGCCTTCTTTGTGAGTCACTCCATCCATCACTCACAATGCTCACACCTTTTTCTTTCCATGTGTTTTTAATGGGTTGTAGCAATCTCTCAATGTTAGCATGTTCTTGTTAGAGTAAAGTAGTCCTCAAAGAATTATACCCCGGTGGCAAATAACCCGGAAGAGGATTAGATGCGGCAAATGAAAAAGCACTAACAAAATATGGATTCCTTGCAAGGTGAAAGGGTAAGCCTCTCTAGAGTAGAACATTCTAGCAATAAGTGCATTTAAATGATCACGCGTCTTCAAGTTGAATGCCTTTTCAATTGCCGAAGTACTTCCACTTCTAATCACCTTTCTTTTCTTTGATTCTTAACCCCCTTCATCAAAAAAGCTATCCAAATGATCCCCAAATGAGACACTAGGAGGCAATGATACTTTCTTTGGTGCAACTTTCCTCGATCTTTCCTTGGTTACATCCTCTAATTTTTGCATATCTACAATATCTTGGCTTGTAACTTTATGACATGCTCCAATTCCATAACCAAGCAATTTCAATAAATGAGCTCATACTCTTGTGTATGAGCTTTTCTTAGTTTGATTGCAAAAATTACATTGCCAAGAAATATTTCCCCCACCATCACTCAACTTTTCAAATCTTGTAATGTACCTCCAAAGAGGTTTACTTATGTCTTCTTCAGTAGATGGTGCATTGCTAGCTCTCATAGAACTCATTTTCTTCAATTCTAAATAAGGCTAGAAAAATAAAAGGAAAAACATAAATTACAACAATAGAAAAAAAAAGTAGCATACAAGTGAAACAATAGATTTGCAGCAGCTCATATAGGAAAAAAAACAATAGCAAAATCAACCGGCAGTAGCAAAAACAGCAAGTAGAAGCAAAAACAACAGCAAAAACAATAGGTTGCAGCAGCAAAAAATAGGAAAAAAAAATAGCAGACAGACTTTGCCAGAAAAATAGCAGCCAGAAAAATAGAATGAACAATAGAATAGAAGGCTTTGCCAGAAAAGTAGAATGAAAAAAATGCCAATTTTGCTTTTTCCTGTTAGGGTTTAAAACCTATTAAACCCTAACTGAAAACCCTAATAG